GGGTTAATTGTTGTTATTTAGGAGATGTGAGCGAGTGGTCCTGAATTCATGACTAAAAATTAGGATTAAAAGCTACAATTATCATTTCACATTAAAAAATCTTAAAATGTTTCCTAGCTCAGTCCCTTGGGTTTATCAGCTATTTTTGGCTATGCTTTAGTTTAAAATAACTTATTGATAAAAATGAAATAAAATTAGGTTAGCTGTAGCTACTTTCTTTGCTCTGCAATAAGTACGCATAGATTACCTTATTCCTTGAACAATGAGGATACAAGTCAAACTAGTTTAACTCCTTCACTCCCAAAATATAAATTTGAGTACTCCTTAATGAACGGCCTTGGATAATGAAGTTACAAGTCAAACTAGTTTAACTCTTTCACTCCCAGGATATAAATATGAGCGACCTTGAGGGCATTACATTTCTTTCAGTGGTAGTTCTAAGAATTTAGTCTTATACCAAAGGAGTAACCCTTAGTTGGGAATTTAATCAACCTCCAAATTCTCAGATCTAATATTATGAGTGATGAATGAAAAACAAAGTATAGAACCACTGTTTAGATCTTGCAAGGGAAAGAGTTAACCCTTTAACTCCCATGAGTGAACAAGAGAGAACCTCTCCTTAAAATATCAGTACAATATCAAGTGGAAAAGTAATGAGAATAAAGCGGAAGTTAATTTAGGGGACCTTAAGTTGATCCAATACTAAATTCTCTCAAGTAATATCAAAAGATTGTATAGCAGACAGTAGCAAGAATTACTAAATACATTAGATTTTGGGAGTGAAAGAGTCGAGGTACATCACAGTAGATCTACCATCATTTCTTTCATCATTTCTGTTATTTTTCACAAATTGAATTGATATGAATGTTATCAACCTGAATTGCAATTATATTTAGTTAGTACAAAAGGTAGTCAAGGCATTTCTCAAAGAGTATAGCATTTGGTAGATGGTAAAAATATTATTTGTTAAAACTGTAGGAGTGATTTTGGAGGAGGACGTCCACCTTCTGCACGAGGTTACAGACCACCTTCTGGGAAAGGAATGAGACCAGGAAGTGGAGCAAGAGGAAGGATGCCCCCAAGCTGTATCCTATTTTATTAAGGTTTAATTTTAGATTTTTGCTAAGCTCAGATGGATGTAGAGACAGTATTTAATCCAGAAGCCTGGCTACTAAGATTGGAAAATACAACATGGTTTAAAGGCTGTTTGGGTCATCGGGGACTTTGAGAGCAGCTTTTTCATGAAGTATCTTAACCTATAAACTCCTAGTCCCAGTCTCCCTTTCGTATTACATTCACATCTCCTTGCCCACCTTTCAACCCTCAAGAGAGAGTCAGTACCCTGAGAGTCAGTATTGGGAA